ATATATATATTTTTAACAGTGCAGATAGTATTGCTATTCATGTATCAGGGCTAAAGGCACTTTGGTATGGACAGTATTCACAGTCACTTACTGCATATTACTTGTGTCTATTAATGATGAGGCAAGTCTTCATTTCTCTGCACTGATTCACCTGAGTGACTTTGTAACTATAATTATCTTTAGCTTGAGCAATTTATCTACAAGAACACATTTACTATAATTTTGAATGAAGAAATATAGATTCACACTCAAATGAAGCTTAACTTTAGTACCTACCAGTGAAAAGGTCTGAACTCCAACATCTGTTCTGGAAAAATACATACATTTCAAATTGTGACATCATGGCAATGCACAGCTCTCAAAAATGGTCTCTAATTTTGGGTGTCTTAGTTACTGAATGTCCAACTATAAACACCTGTCCTCTGATTTTCAAAGATATTGATCCCTTATAACTCTAAATGAAGTCAATGCTAAGAATTTTTCAATATTATGTATTAGACATCTTAATTTAAGCACACAAAAATTGAAGCACCCAGCATTCAAGATCACTTTAACTTTTTGTCACACCATCACTGCAACTGAATAAAGAACCAATATCTCTATAGCTATTTCCATGGCCATGTACTTTTGGCCTTGACAACAGCTCCTTGCAACAAGTTTCATAGGTTGATTGTGCATTGGGTGAATGGGTGCTTCTGTATAACTGTTTTAAACTGGCAGCCTATTAATTTTATTGGGTAATCCTTGGTTTTTGTGTTGTATGTGTTATTCACTTTCCCACACCATTCATGATTTTATCATATCCCATTTCAGTCATCTATTGCTTTTTAATCTCTTCTCATAAAGAAGTGTTCCATACCACAACTATTCTTGTTGCCCTTCTTTATATTTTTTCTAATTCCAATATATCTTTTTTCAGATTGGGTAATCAGAGCTGCATGCAATATTCCAGGTGTGGGTATAGCACACATTTTTATAGCGACATGATGATATTTTTGGTCTACCTACCCTTTTGCTAATGGTTCCTAATATTCTGTTAGCTTTTAAAACTACTGCTAAACACAGAGCATGAGCAGGTATTTTCAAAGGACAATCAATGATGACTCCAAGATCTCTTTCTTGAATGGTAATAGTTTCTTTAAATCCCATCATTTTCTATGTATAGTGGAGATTTTCCAATGCACATTATTTTGTATTTATCAACATGGAATTTTATGCGCCATTTTTTGGCCTTTCACCCACTTTTGTGCGATTCTTTTATAACTCTTGATAGTCATTTTAGGACTTAGCTTTATTCAGTAGTTATGTATTGTCTGACTCTTCCCAACATATTTGTTTCATCTGTATGTCTGATAATTCTATTCTTTACTATAGCTTCAATCAGTTTTCCTAGTCCTGAAGTTGGTCTTATTGACCTGAAAGTGCCAGGATTGCCTCTGGAGCCTTTTCTAAAATTCAGCATCACACTAATTATCCACCCATCTCATGATACCAAGACTGATTTAAGCAACAGGATACATACCACAGTTAGTAGTCCTCCAAGTTCATCTGAATTTTTTTAGAACCCTTAGGTGAACATCGTCTGGTCTTAGTCACCTATTACCATTTATCAACTTGTTCAAAAGCCACCTTGAAGCATACCACTGCCTGGGACAATTCCTCAGATCTGTCACCTAGAAAGAATGGTTCAGGTGTGGGAATCTTCCTAACATTGTCTGCAGAGAAGACCAATGCAAAGAATTAATTTAGCTTCACAATGGCTGTTCTTCTTTGAGTGCTCCTTTAGCATCTTGATTGTCTAGTGGCCACACTGATTGTTTGGCAGGCTTCCTTCTTCTGGAGTACTTAAAAAATCATGTTAGGTTCTGTGTCTTTTATTGTTGCTCTTCAGATACATTATTGGTCTACCTAATTTTACATATACACTTGAGTTGCTAGAGTTTGTGTACCTTTCTATTTTCCTCAGTAGGATTCAACTTACAGTTTTAAACGGATGTCTTTTGCCCACAACCACCATTTTTTTAGCCATTGTAGCATATTTGTCCTTTTTTAAAAAAACTGGAGCATATATACAGTTTGAGCCTCTATGATGGTGCTTTTTAAAAGTTTCCATACAGCTTGCAGGCATGTCACTCTTGGAACTGCTCATTTTACTTTCCACTTAACTAGCCTACTCACTTCTGTATAATTTAAAAGTGACTGTGATGGGTTTCTTTGGTTATGAATTATGGAATGATATATGTGTGGAAAATGTCCATTGTTAAAAGTCTGTCTATGTTTAACAAAAATTGTTTAGTAATTTTAAAGATACATACATTTAAAATCCACAGGTCTTGTACATCTGTATTAGATCGTTTTCTAAACACACTTTCAGAAAATGGAAGTAAAGGATGATTTTTTTAGAAACACCAAACTCTATTGACAAAGATGGCAGAGATTTTAAGTTCTGCAAAATTTCCAGTGTAAGCTTTCAATGAAACAAATGGCATGATATGTCAGAATGTACAATAAGTATTAGAGATACCAGGGCTAATAAACAAAAGGAATAGAGAGATATTGTGTTCTTTATCATAGTTATAAGATGAAATAATTTATAAGATCCCAAAGTCAACTAGCTTTGGATTTCCCCTGTGTCAATCTTCTCTTCCTTGTCCTCAGGAAAATTAAATGCAAAAAAATTAATATTAATGCAATAGTGAAGTTGGAATATCAGGCACCCAAAATAATAACATTTAGAAAGTTAAGATTGCTATGTCTCTCATACTTCAACTGTACCTTTGATTCTTACTTTCCTGTAAACTTTAAAATATGCTTTTGCTATTATTGTATACCATAAAAAGTATAGGATGTGCAACAGTTTAATGAATTTTCACTAGAAATAAAGTATGCTTCAAATCAGTCCAACTCTCCATGATTAGTTGACTTTCAGTAATGGACTGAATGGAAAGAAAAACTGCATTACTGAATAGACTGCACAGAAAGCTTTTTAGACTGTAAGCTGCATGTTGATGGACAAAATTATAATTATTCTAATCTTCTTTTATACTTTAATTCTTTGGATCTTCTTTGAGCAGAAAAATGAATATTATCTAAGCCAGGGGGCAGCAATCTTCAGCACATGGAACATCAGGGTAATCCTCTCGTGGGCCGCAAAACATTTTATTTACATTAACCGCAGGTATGGCCCTCCACAACTTCCAGTGGCTGTGTTTCACTTTTTGTGGCCCATGGGAGCTGCAGGAAGTGGTGCTAGCTAGCCACCACCTCCCACAGTGCTCATTGGCTGGGAACAGCAAACTGCAGCCACAGGGAGCTGCGGAATGGGGAGGAGCATGCCTTCAGTCAATGTAAATAACACATTTTGTGACCCGCCAGTTGATTACACTGATGGGCCATGTGCCAAAGGTTGCTGAACACTGAGCTAGGCCCATAAATAGGCAACATTAGTCTTTCCCTTATTCTGGGAAGAAGTCCTAATTCATGCAATCCAGGTGAATGGAGGCAGGTGTCCTCTAATTTTTTAAAGATGAATCTTCCCCACAATGGCACACACTTTGAAATAGCCACACCTTTCCAGAAGACTGTTTCTAAAGTTGAAAACTGAAGAGACATAAAACAATTACTGTAAGTTGGAACTGCATACAAACATAACCAATATGCAAATACCATTATGGTAACATTTAGCCCTTTTTGACATTCTGTCTTAGTCTGACTTAAAAAAAAAACAAATCCATGTTAAGCCAAATATGTACAGAATACTACAAAAATATACTGGGGAAGTTCCTCTACAAGAAAAGACCCATTCTGGGAAACATAAATATTAGAAGAAGGGAACAAATTTAGCCTTTCTTCTGCCCTGGATTCACCAGTCTCCGCATAAGTCATAACTCATGATAACTTAGCAAGCAGTAGTCTTCATCAGGAGACCAAATGGAGTGAGTAATAAAATAGTGAAAAAAATTGCAAAAATAGCATTATAAACCAGTGAAATGCAGACATGACTGTGTGTCAAACTTAAAAAAAAAAAAGTAACCATGTCTACCAGGCTCAGGCTGAGATAAAACAGATGCTCATCTCTATTACTTTTTCCACAAAGTTATACCTTCTCCTTCTCTCACACATGTACGCTACACATATCCTTCCTGAAAGGTATTTGAAGCATCTGTTACCTGAAATTAAATCTGTATAAAAAACAATAGTAACTCAGTTTCGTAATGCTTAGAAGGCATATATTAATAATCACAGTAAATGCCTGACTGACTTCCTTCAAAGAGGATTATTTCTCCATCCAATATTGATCACTACCAAAATAAGCCCCCCATCTCAAAAGAGTTTCCTATATTGCTGTTTTATCTTCCTGAAAATGAGATAATATGAACATCTAGCAAAGAAGAGGTGAAAAGATTATATAGTCTTTTTGTGGGATTTCCAAAGAACACAATGAAGACATCATCTTTCTCTACAAACTAGTTTCAGTAGAAACGAAAATAAAAATGAAAATGCATTTATATGACCAAAAAAAAAAAAAAAAGTAAAGAAAAAGAAATGAAATTGTCTGCTGGAGGCAGAATTCAGCATGTTCTGAAACTGGTGGAGTTTAGGGCTGGTTTGTAGGAATAGAAAATAAAAATCTAAAAAATGAGCAAGTGAATTTCAGTTCACTTAATTTTTTTGCCAAAGTTAAAGGCATAAAAAGGACTGGAGAGTCAAATATACGGAGACATGGTTAAGTGTCTGAAAATATCTTTAATTAGGGCTTGTAATGTCACTTCAGGACATCATCCACTTGCTTTAGCAATGGATAAAGTAAGCTATGACATCATGAAGAAATATAATGAAATAAGTTAAGTGATAGTAGTGATTTGACAAGGTGTATAGAGGACTGTCTGTAACTACTGGGTTTCTCATCGCAAAAGGAAGGGTAGGCTGAAATAAAGAAATCAGTTATAAAGCAGGCTTCTTGCTAGGAGACTTCACTCAATAGTTTAATCCCCTTGAAAAAGTAAGACCTACATAATAGCTTTCTTAATAAAAATAAATAAAATACATACCCTTCCTACTCTGGAATGCTAGAGGTTATAAATCAATTCATTTTTTTCCAGGGACCTCTGAAAAACTTATATCACATCTAGATGTTTATTAGGGTCATGTCTGACTGTGATGGTCAAGGGAAAGAAATATGGGCATTAACAGGCCCATGAACTGAGGTACTCAACCCCTGCTGAATAACCTGCACCAAAATGTGGGCAGATTATATTAGGCCACACTAGTCATGGATGCAAGAACTCTGGAAGGGAGAAATAAATAATAATCTGTTCCTATTTTAACTGTTGTTCTTAACTTTGATTAGTCATTTTAGGAATGAACTAGGGGAAACCAAGTAGGATTGTTGGGGTTTTGTTTTTTAAATCTGAAGGTGTTGGGGACTGATGAAGGGGAAAGGATGCAGATGCTAAAATCCTCCCTTAAGCATAGAAGATAAATCAAGCTGACTACTTTGGTTACCTGTAGGGTACTACACACTAACCAAATTCCTGTTCCTGCAAATTATCTTAGTTAGGAATATTGATGCAGAAAGAAAATAAAGATGGTAGAAAACAGCTAGAATAATACGTTGCTAACTAACCCGGTTATTTATAAGCTGCGTTGATCCTAAAGACATGCAGGAGTGGAAAGAATTACTAGCACTGGCTATGTCTAGACTGCAGGCTTCTTTCAGAAGAAGCTTTTCCAGAAGAGATCCTCTGAAAAAACTTCTTCTAAAAGAGAGTGTCAACACTTCCAAAGCACATAGAAAAAGCAATCTGCTTTTTCGAAAGATAGCATCCACACTGAATGGACGCTATCTTGTATTTAAGCCTTGATTACTATGGACGGAGTGGCCACCAGGGCACCTGTGCTTTTTCCTCTTTTCTCTTCTTTTGAAAGAACTCCCTCTTCCCCATCCACTCATGCCTTTTTCTGAATGAGCTCTTTCAGAAAAAGGCTTCTTATCCCATAGAAATAGGTTCACCAATGTCAGAAAAAAACCTCTGTTCTTTCGGGTTTTTTTCTAAAGAACACAATTGCAGTGAGGATGTAAATGAAGTTTTTTTCGGAAAAACAGAGTAGACATACTCACTGAAAGGCAGGTGTAATATAGGCACAGGAGAAAAAAGGCAGCATTGCCTTCTGAAACTCTGGAGACACAAAAAAAACCCTTACCCTCTATATGGTTTGTTTTTCACTCTCTTGACTTCAACTTATTTGCAGGCTTTGTGGTATTATTTAGATCCCAGTGAAGAATCAATATGCAGCTCTGAATCTGATCTCCTGCTGTCCCTAAGATGATCCCAGATGATTGTCAGTAGCAAAGTACAGGATTAGCTCTCCTTGGAGTCATGGCAGCGATCTTGAAGGGAAGAAAGACTGGGCTTCAGTTGATAAAGCTGTCTGGATGAATCCAATGGAGCATCTGCACTTCAGTTGTTGACTATAGGAGCAGATGAAGTGCGGGAAAAATAGACAACGGTTCTTTGATCTTCCCTTGGAGCTCTTCAACACAGTTTGTGGGGGATAAACACTGTGAAAAACCTCCAGTACTAAGAGACTATCCAGTAATTAGGACTTCTGGACAGAGTAGTGGATACAACACAGGAAAAATTAACACTAAAGCTCTCTACATAGTGTAACTCTAAGGGGTTCTTGTGCTCCCACAAATAGATAATTATTATTTCCAGCCAGTTGAAAACACTCATACTCTTTTCTGAGAGAGCTCCATTGGCTGTAAAACACCTAGACATTACTACTG